AATTTTGTCTTTTATTTTGTGGCTTGTAAGTAAAATTCTATGGAACACTGTAGCATTTGCCAGAGGCTTAGAGCTCTGACTCGCTTGGTTCCACTTCCTTTTGCCTATCTGCCTTCCTGGGATATGTTCTCCACTGCCTGCTCTTGGAGCCTGGTGCCCTCTGCCTCCTTTTTCTGTCTTTAAAAATATATATTTTTTATTTATTCATGAGAGACACAGAGAAGCAGAGACATAGGCAGAGGGAGAAGCAGGCTTCCTGCAGGGAGCCCAATGTGGGGCCCGATCCCAGGACCCCAGGATCATGACCCGAGCCAAAGGCAGATGCTCAAAGCTGAGCCACCGAGGTGCCCCTCTTTTTTCTGTCTTGCCTTCCTCCTCCTCAGTTAGCAACTAGATTGCATAAGGAAAGGGGGCTGTAAGGGCGGTAGGGGGAGAAGGAAGGGAGCTGTATTCCATGTTCACTAAACCCCACAGAGGCCTGACCATGGGCATGGGGAGGATTGGGGTCAGATACACATCTTGAATGTCTTAGAGTAAGACAAGGGGATGGCCATCCCTACCCAGGCTGGAAGCACCATGGTACATTCTGTGGGTGGCTCAGTAATGCCTCTTACCTACCTTTAACCCAGATACCAAGTCATGCACAGCATAGAAAATGGTAACATTCATATGGCCCACTGTGGTAAGCAGTCAAGGCAGTACTAGCTAGCCTTGAGTCCCACTCATTAACCCCAAGAGCTGAAGGCAGTTATACCCTAGACTAAGGTAGGTGAAGCTTCTGTCTTCCTCCTTTCTGCCCCTACTCCACTTGGCCCCACTCTTCCCTGTGAGGCAAGTTATCCATGGGCCCAGTGGACATATCTGACCAAGTCCCCAACCCTCCTTCAGGATCAGTTGCTTTTCCCCCGTGAGCCCATCACAGACAAACACGTCGTCTTACTATGCATGACTAATACTTGGCTCACACCACTTGGGACTCACCATGTAAGTTTGCCAGCCCTGGAACTGGTCTATCTCCTATTAAATCAGAGAAGTTCAGTCACACCGGTTCATCTTCAGATGTTCCAGCAATGTCAAGTGCCATAGAAATTTCTAAGTGCTCGCATTCAGTTTTTAACTTAAGCCGCAGCAGACCAGCAACAACAGTCTCGTCCCTGGACCACAATGAGAAGCTCTGTTCGAGACTCTTCTGCGGGTGCTGGGACTCTGGAATTACCAGCCCAAATCGCACCAAGCCTGCTTCCTGGATTTTCATGGGCCTCTTCTGATTCATTCTCCAGGTTAGCGTTCTGCTGGGCCAAGGGGCAGCTGTCTGCAGGGAGCAGCAGAGATGGAGAATGAATATGTGTGCTAGGGTGTCCATGCTGGTGCATTTGAGGCCCTTTGGGTGTAACATGGAGGGAAGATGAGAAGGGACGGGAGGGCAGGCTGATGGAGGAAGGGAGCCACAAAAATATAGGGCAAGCCAAGCTGAAAGAATCAATGTCTCTGCACATCGGGAACACATCCACGGTGTCCCAATGTGTCACAGCCTGCCAGCCAGGAAGCTCGAGCCCAGCCATTTTCTGTTGTGATTTTTGACATTTTGAATTCTGATTTCTATCCCATTGCCACAGTTGAGAGCCTCATAGCATTTTGCAGAACAGGTGGGTAACATGTAGACGTGTGTGTTCCCTGGATCACTGTTTCCCCAGCTGTGTTGGGACTGTGACCTCACCAGCTGTGCCTAATCAAGCAACCCCCTCTCTTTGTGAATCCGATGCGTGTCTCCAGGCAAATAATTTCTCAACACTCTGGGAAAGGATTTGGTTTGTTTCCCTTAAGTTTAATTAGGAGCAAACCCAGGCTAACACCCCCAAAGAAAGATAGGCAAGTGACTCAGCAATTAAAACAACAACAACAACAACAACAACACAATTAGCCAATAGGCATATAAATAATACCTCTAGTAAATCAAGCCATGTAAATCCAAGCAATGAGATACTTTATTTTGCTTCTTAAATTGGGAAAGATGAAAAACAAAAAAAGAAAATATTCAGAGTCTGTGATGGTTCGGGGAATATTGCCATTTCATATACTGTTGGCAGAGGGCAGTAGGGTAACTGGAGAAAGATTGGTAGAGGTAAATCTGGCAGTATATTGCCGAAGATTTTACAACGTGCATATCCTTTGAAATCTTGAAATCACTGTTCCATATTTTCTTACATTCATTGGTTGTTGATTAGAAGTCTAATGTCAATCTCATTTTTGAGATTTTTTGTTTTGTTTTTGTTTTTGTTTTCCCTCTTCTGAAGCTTTTCCTGTTATTGATAGTGTTTGAATTATAAGATCTGTCTGGGTTGGGTTTTCTTTTTATTTGTCTTGCCAAGTGTCTGGTAGACTGTTTCGATTTGGGGTTTCACAGCTTTCTTCAGTTCTGAGAAATACTATTATATATGTGAATATTGCTTCCCTTCATTTTTCTCTACTCTCTCCTTCTGGAACTGCTATTAGATTGAGATTGTAATGTCTGGATTTTGATCCTGTGTTCCCAGCGTGTTTTTCATACTCTCACTTGCTCCTTCCAGGAGAATCCCTAGGGCAGCTCACTAACTTGCTCTTTATGTTTTTCCTGCTATTCAGCTCTGCTACTGAGTTTTTAAAAATTCATCTCAATGGTTAAAATGATTATTTCAAATATCTCTATTTGAACCTTTTTGGTCACTTTTGTCCTCATTTTGTGTTTACCTTATCTTCCCTCAGTTTTTTGGGCAGATTAATTACACTCATTTAAAATTTGCTGCTGCATACGTTGTTAGCTACATTTCCTGTGGGGTCTCTGCCCTAAAGTTTGCTGTCTCTCTTTTACAGTGTTGGCCGCCTTCAGATGTTTGTTTATTCTTGTTTTGGTGCTAATTTCTGTAACTGGAATTTCCTGTGAGCATGTCAGCTGCACCTACTTGAGAAGCCCACTTGGAAGGCAGGGTTGGAAACTGCTACCAGCCTAAGCCTTGGCACTGTTTTCAGAGAGCCAGCCTTCGTGGCATGGATTTTCTCTTTCTTGTTCTTGTTCTCTCAGGTGTCGCCAGCCCCTAAGAGTCCTGCCCTTCTTTCTGAGCCAGGCACCTCTCGGTACTGTTTCTACTTACACTTCTGACACCAAACATGTGGGATTTTTCCCCCCAAATCAACCAATTCTCCAACTCTCTGGACACCACAATTCAGTTCAGTTCTGACACCCACTGCCTAGAGTCAGCACAGCCCCCACAGGTGAAGGGCCTGTCCCCACAAGACTGCCCCCCACTTCAGATGTCAATCTTAAGTCCTAGGTTGTCACCTGTACTTCTGACCAGCCAGCTATATGTTGGGGTTCTTTAGCCCCTCCTCAGGTTCAGTAATTTACTAAAATGGCTCACAGAATTCAGGGACACATTACTTATGTTTGCCAGTTTATTGTAAAGGGTATTATGAAGGATACAAATGAACAGCTAGGTGAAGAGGATATAGGGCAAGATCTAGAAGATTCATAAGTGCATTCTGTTCCTGTGGAGTTGGTGTTTGTCACCCTCCTAGCACATAGACGCTTTTGCCAACCTGGAAGCTCCCTAAATATTGTTATTGTTTTTTTTTTTAATTGGAAGTTTCATCCATGTAGGCATGATCAAATGACTCAGTCTCCAGCCTCTCCCCCATCCTCAGAGTTTGGGAGGTGGGGCTGAGAGGCCCAAGCTCCTAGTCAGGATTAGGTCTTTCTGGCACGAGGCCCCTATCCTGAAGCTATCAAGGGGACCCCGGAGAGTTGCTTCATTAGAATAAATGGTGATCCTGTCTCCCCTCTCATTAGCAAAATTCTAAGGCATTTAGGAGCTCTGTGTCATGAATTGGAGCAAAAACTAAATGTTATAACAAAAGATGCCTCTGTCACCCCTGTCACTCAGGAAGGAACTGGGGGAAAACACCAAATATGTATTTATTATGTCACCATACGCCACCTCATAGACTGCTCCATGACTGCTGACCAGCCTGAGCAGCTGGGGGTGCGGGGTAAGACGGCCAGTCTACCTGGTTGCCACTGGCCTCCCTGTGGCTACTGCCGAGCATCTTCCTGCTTCTTGCCTCACACCTGCTCATGCCCCTGTATCCTGGGCCACCTCTTGTCTTTTCAGTCAGGTGCTCCTCACCCACGTACTCCTCCATGTAGCCCTCTTGCTTTTCAGTGAGGCTATTTATTTAAGCCTCATCCTATAATGTCCTGGCATTTGTTATGGAAAGAACATATTCTCAGTCCAGTTGTGTAAAAAACTCTATCACCTTCAAACCAGCAGTTCCACTTGTAGGAATTTACCTTAAGGAAGTAATTAAGAATAAAGCTTTACCCCAAGGAGTTTCAATCACAGTCACATTTACTGTGAAAACAAATAACCAATGAGAGGAGATTAAATAAATGATGACACAGGGTGCCTGGCTGGCTCAGTCAGTAGAGCATCCAACTCTTGATCTTGGGGTCATGAGTTCAAGCCCCACGTTGGGCATAGAGCTTACTTTAAAAGAATAAAAAAATAAACCGATGGTGACACATCCATACAATGGCAGACTAAGTGTGTGAAAACTGAGGGCAGATTATTGAATTGCATGGAAAAATGTCACTGATGTATTTTTAAGTAAAAATTTCAGGTTATGAAATTATTTTAGGGTCTCATTTTTGTCAAAATCCCCCCCACACACACACACAAAGGGGTGTCTGGGTGGCTCAGTCGGTTAGGCGTGTGTGACTCTTGATCTCTGGATTATGAGTTCAATCCCCACATTGGCTCCACCCTGGGTGTAGAGCCTACTATAACATATATGTGTGTATTATATATATACCGCACACATATGTTCTTTTAGAAAAGAGTAGTTCTGCATGGTGGGATTCTGTGACTTATTTCCTCTTTGTAGCTTTTTCCCCACATTCTTGGGGATTGTTTGTAGCAACTGTCATGTGCCAGACTCCAGTGCCATTCTCTGTTTCCCTCCCCAAGGTGTGCTGGAAGATGGACTGTCCTCCAATGGTATACCCCGATCTGCAGCCCAAGGTGGAATATCCAACCCAGAGAAGAAGATGAGCTGTGGGACCCAGTGCCCGAATCCCCAGAGTCTCACCTCAGGCCCTCTGACCCAGAAACAGAATGGCCTTCGGACCATGGAGGTAGGTCACAGCCACAGAACCCACTTGGTTCAGGAGAAGGGGGAAGCTGCTCCTAGAACAGGGCCCAGCTGAAATGGTACCCAGGGAAGGAGCAGTGATGGCTCACCTTGCCAGTGGAGATTTTCTACCCCACCCATGTGAAAATTGTTACAAAGAAGATAGCAGGACCCCACCATACCCCAACCCCTGCCTTGAGGGCTGCCGTGTTTTGTTGAATCAGTAGAAATGGGCCCTTACTATCTGCACTCTAAAGGCAGCATGTGTTTGCATAAATATAGCTTTGTTCGAGGATCCCTTCAGCACAGCTCTCACCATCTTGACACTGAGGATTGTACAGGTCACAGGAACCAGTTTTGGGCCAGGCAGTCAGCAGGGCTCAGGGTTGACAGGGAAGGAGAGAGAAGATCGGTGTGGTGTGGCAGGAGACAAGCCAGCATCTTACCTCCTACCCTCCCCACCAAGGCAGGCAGTGGGAGAGTCCCCAAGGGGGGCTGTCATTGCAGCATGTGGTGCCAGCATCACCCTCAGACTGTTAGTGTTGAAGAAGAAGCAGGGCTATGGCATCCCAGAGCCAGCTGGCGTCCTTTGGATTCTTTCCTTTCTCCCAGAGCTGCTGTGTGTGTGTGTGTGGGGGGGGGGGGTGTTCCCCACACTGGCCCTGGCTCCTCCCACCAGAAAGAATGCCCTTGGTAGGCCCGCCAGGATCTGCTTTCTCCTCCTCCTCCCCGCCCCTTTTCCACTTCCTCATCTGCACCATGGCCCACCCTCCAAATCCACTGCTTACCTGGTGCTGATTGTCCAAACCCACCCCCATCAAAATTTACTGGTCCTGTCCCCGCAGGCCAGTGCCACCTGTTTCCTGAGGCCACAACTGGTTCTCTAATAATGGAATTCTTGTCACAGGAGTGAGTTACCTCTCTAACCCTTGGTTAGAAAACCTGTTGCAAATTCAGCTCTAATGCTCCTTAACTAAGTGGCCTGGCAAGAACTACTTAATCTCTGAGTCTCAGGTTCCTTACCCACACAATGGAAATAATACCACGAAGAGAGAACAGATGGGCCTGCTCTTTGTAAGCTGAGAAGTGCCCTAAGGAAGCCAGCAAGGATTAGCAGGGCATGGTTAGGCACACAGCACCACAGCCCAATGGAACCAAACACCGGTGATGGCTCTTCAGAGCAGTTCCCCCAGCACACATGGTGGGAGAGCGTTCCCCCAGGGCAGGGGGGCGAGGGCCTTTGCCCCCTGAGCAGCTCAGCTCCAGGAGCAGGTGACACCCGCTGATAAGCCGTCCACACAGGTTGTTTTCACAATTCGGTGAGCAATGCCTGTGTTTTAGCCACTTCCCAAATAAGAGCAGGGGGCAGAGAGCTTGAGTTCTGAGTGTCCAGACATTTGCTGATGTCCTGGGATCTCACCAGCCACCGGACGTCTTGAATCCCTCAAAAGCCATGGCAGAGGTTTTCTATCGACAGTGTCAGTTTACAGGACAAGTTTACCTCTGACTGAAGCGTCTGTCAGCAGAGCTATCTTGTATCCACACAGCTCTCAGCTATGAATCCGCTCAATGAAAATCATTTTCTGCCTGAACCCTCCGGGGCCTTTGACATCTTATCTCTTCCTCCCTGGTCTCCTATACTCTGGGCTAAAGCTTCCGGCATTTTCAGTGACTTCCCTCTTCCTCAACTCTCCCAAGATGACCTACTACCACTTCACAGCGTTGTCCTCTACATCATCCAGCCACCTGGCTGATGGTTTTTTGGCACTTCTTAAGAGCTTTCTTTCCCTAGAAAAACTTGTCATGCAGCATGAATCTTTATGCACCTGCCTAAATCTGATTTATAAAACAAGTCTGTGTGTTAAAGGCAATCCTTGCTAGACCTGGAAAACATTCTCCTCAGGTCCTATAAGCACTCCTTGGACTCATTCATGTCCTGTTCTTCCACTGAGTGCCTTCTAGGTTTCCAGGCACTTTTGTGATGCCAGGGATGTGGGAATGAAAAAGGAACACAAGCCCTTTGCTCTGAAGCAGCTGCCAATTTTAATGCGGGTGAAGCTGGGCACGCAGATAATACAGAATAAATGAACAAAAGCTTTGCCAATTTGAAATAGTGCCATTTATTTCCAGGAAATAAAAGGCCAGGAGTGGGGGCTTGCAACTTCTCCCTTCAACATAGATGCCTTCCCACAGTTCAGATTGCTTTCCGAAAGGTGATGGGGACAACTGATGGTGCTAATGGCTGTGAGCAGCAGGATCTCCTGTTCTGACCCCCTCTCCACTTCATGTCTCATCAAACCAACCATAGCTTCCCTCAGCCCCTGTCTTAGGCCTGGTGTTAATAGGTGCTACCTGGCAAAAGGAATGTGACAACCACGATCTTTAGCAAATGGGACCTGTCTCGGGGAGGGCTCTTTCTCTTTCTGTACTGTGTCTTGATTTCTTCCAGTCACTTGGGACCTTTCTGACATCTCAGCATCTGAGAAATCCTTGACTGGGTCTCCTTCCCTCCGGCTCCTGCCCTGAGCTCGACCAAAACGCAAGAGGAAGTTCTCTAGCTGCTTATCCTCTCCCGCTGGTTAATTGCTCAGGAACTCGGGGCTGCCTCCAAACATTTGCTTTCGAATCTGAAAGTGCCATTTCCTCAGCCTTGGGACTCTGTTTTCCTCCCCTATCTCCTCAGGTATTTGGCCAAGGTGGAAATGTATGTGTGGATACAGCTCTGAGCAGACAGGGCTCGAGCCTCCCAAGGAGCCCTCATGTCTTCCGAAGCTGTGTCGTTTTGAGTTACTTTATTATCCTTGGCCAAGTGGCCAGACCGCACTGAGCACTTCACTGATGTCCCGACTGACTCCAGGCCGAGAAGCTTCCTCCTTCTGCTCCCGCTCCCCCCACACCCGGGGTCTGGGTGCCAGCGAGGCAAGGTCCGGTCCAGGAAAGATGGGAGAAGCCTTGCAGAGATGGCTGTGGCCAAACAGGGGGGCCTCATCCTGCAAGGAGGGTGGGAGAAGCCCAGAATTTCTCCTGGGTGGTGGCGATAGGAGATACACGAGAAGAGTTTGGAAAGTAAATATGAGTTTCTCCTAGGAAAACACAAACTTGACATTAAAAGGAGGGAGAGAACAAAGGAACCCATTGAAGAAAACCAGAGAGGGGTACCTGCCAGATGGGCACTTTGATGCACGGTCTAGTTCGAGTCTGGGAAAAGGAGGCAATTTAGCAGTATAGGGATGTGGAGGGTGTGTGTGTGTGTGTGTGTGTGTGTGTGTGTGTGTGGTGATTCTCACTACCTCCGCACATGCAGCTACCTTATATAGCTGAAGAATTTCAAGACTCATCATCTGTCTAAGGGTCTGTAGAAAAGCCAATTCCATTAGAAGACTTTCAGGCTCCTTTGCCCCCGGAACCACCTTCATTCAGGATTATGAACCTAGAATATGCTCACTAACTACATGCTGATTGAATGCAGCTGGTGAGCACTTCCGGAGGATTAGAAAGGTTTCCCAGGGCACCAGGCCCACCCAGTCCCTCCAGCGCCACCATCCTGAGCTTGAGGACTGTTCTGTGGGATCCCCAGTGCTTCTTTCAAGCAGATTCTGCTGCCTTCCTGGTGTTTGATCTACCTGAGGTTCAGGTTGAAAAGCAGTAACTCCTTTGGCACTTGCTACCGGACAGGTCTAAACCCCTATGCTGAGCAGCCTGAGTACCGTGCATGGGGCTGTGATGGGCACAGGATTCACTCCAGGCTTGGGGAGTTCTGGAGAGTTTTGCCTGAGGCGTGATCTGACCCCTGCCTTTGGAGGCTAGCATCCTGGCCCTCAGTGGAGTCATCAAGATCAAATGTTTTCTGATGACCTCGAATTAATGCCATGAAACAGCAGCAAATAAAATCACAGAATTTGGGAACAGCTAGATGTTAGTTATTGCTTGTCTCCCTTTAATAGGGCTTGACTGAACAGGAGAAAGATGTCTTGAGTTGCAGCTGACAAGGCTCGGTCTTTAATCTTTTGGGAAGGAAGAGAGGAGGGAGTGTCCACAATGAGCCAGGTACACTGCATATGGCATCATCTTTACTCCTCACTCTAAGGGGGAAGTAGCATTTCTCACTCAGGAAAACAGGCTCAAGAAGGTTGGGTATTTGGCCAGCATGGCACAGGGAGTAGTCATGTGACTGTGTTGGACTTAAAAAAAAATAGAGGGATCCCTGGGTGGCTCAGCGGTTTGGCGCCTGCCTTTGGCCCGGGGCGTGATCCTGGGGTCCCAGGATCGAGTCCCACGTCGGGCTCCCTGCATGGAGCCCGCTTCTCCCTCTGCCTGTGTCTCTGCCTCTCTCTGTCATGAATAAAAAAAATAAAATCTTTAAAAAAAAATAGGTACGTGCACTCTTTAATTGTGGTTCATTTTGTCTTTAATGGAGTACCATAGATATGTAATCATTAGATACTTATCAATCATTAGATTACGTATCAAGATACCATGATATGTAATCATTAGAAACTTCATATTATAGATTCCTGAGTCTAGGACACAGCCTCCGTATCTAATATCCTTCTAACTGGATATGGATGAAGGAATTATGAAGGAGTTATTCACAATCATAATAAATTATTAAACCTAAGCCACTATCAAATTAAACATGCATTTGTTTATTCTGAAATGCTGCAAAAGTAATAGATACAAATGTAAACCCAGATCTGTTTGCCTCCAAACCCCATGTTCTTCCTTCTATTACCGAAAACAAAACAGTGGAGAATTCAGAGTAAGCTTTGGCAGATTTGTGGGAGGCTGGATGTGGGACCCAGTTCCACCATCTTCAGTTCAGCCTACCGTCTATATCAACATTGGCCTTGGGCAAATTATGTTGGCTTGAGTGACTTTCACTGCCTCTTTGGAAAAGAAGGAGTAGCACCATTTCTGTCTCTCAGGGACAGCGTAAGAAACAATCAGTTTCTAGGAAAGTTATAGGGCAGGACAGTGTAATGCAAACAGGTGTGCTATTCCCAG